CTTTGGGAGGCCGAGGTGGGAGGCTTGCGTGAGCTAGGGAGTTTGAGATCAGCCTGAGCAAGAGTGAGTCTACAAAAAAGAGAAAAATTAGCCAGGTGTGGTGGCTAATAGTCTGTAGTCCAAGCTACTCAGGAGGCTGAGGCAGGAGGATTGCTTGAGCCCAGGAGTTTGAGGTTGCAGTGACCTATGATGACACCACTGCACACTAGTCTGGGTGACAGAGCAAGACCATGCCTCAGGAAAAAAAAAAAAAGGAAAGAAAGAAAGAAAAAGAAAATAAAAGGCACTTCTACACGTTGACTCAGAAATTCTACTTCTTCTTGGAAGCCTCTCTACAAACAGGATCAGAAATCTGGAAAAAGATTTACTTTCAAATATGTTCAATGTAAGAATACTTTTAGAGTAAATTTAACACTCCTGCTGTTCCGAGCTAGGGCTCCCTGAGTTCTGTTAGGAGAAATGGCAGAGATCATGAGCCCTTATTCAGTAATCAACAAACCCTGGGCACCCACTCTGTGCCTACGCGGCTCTAGGCTCTGGGGACACAGCCAGAACAGGACAGGGACTTAGAAGAGGATCCCACAGAGTGGGGCAGTCACCACTTGGGTGCGGCTGCTCCAGCCTGTGTAGCCCCAGCCCCTGCAGTCCCTCTGTTAGGTAGATAGTTAGGATCTCCAGCTCTTCTCAGACAAGGGTTCCTTGCTTTGGTGCTGTCTTGAGCAGCTGCTCCACCTGGGAAGGAGGATAAGGGCGGGCACTCCATTTTTGTGTTGCCCTCCTTAATCCTATCCCGAGCAACTGCTCCAGCTGGGGAAGGAGGGGATGTGCTATCAATCTAGGAATTCCCCAGCCCGGGCATAATAAGATTCAGAAAGTGACCTAGAGTAACTTAAGGGTATTTAATATGCCATTAGCTTAAAACTGCACTGCGGTCCACGCCCCCCAGGCTTCCTTAGCAGGAGCTTGTCTATGCAGATGGAATTTTGAGGACACCTGTTTATTGGTCATTTGATAACATCCTTCACCTCCCAAGAGCCCTCCTCCAGATTGGGCTAATAAAAGAAAACAATTCAAGAGGTCAGGAAGAAATGACTGGCTCAGAGAGTCAGTGAGGAAGTGAGTGGGGCAGTCAGGCAGTCGGTCTGTCTCTCTCCACTCACAGACAGACCCGTTTTATCCTACAGTAAAGAGCTGCTCTTGTGAAACTGCTCCCTGCCTGAGTTACTCTGTTGTATTGGCCTTGCTAGTGATTTTTCCAAGAAAGGAGTCAGGGGACTGGGATAATAGTCTGGACCTGACACTTCGGTGTGTCTGGACTTGACACTTCGGTGTGTCTGGTCATTCTTCGGCCAAGAGCACACCAAGAACCGAGGGCAGACTCCCACCCAGACATCTTGGGTGGTGCCGAAACCCAGGATTCTGACACCTCCATTCCCTGCAGTCCCTCCGTCCCCTACAGTCCCTCCGCTCCCCCAAGCTCCGCTTTCCCCTGGGCCAGGAGAGCCGAGGCACCACCCTTGCCTTCTGTCTACAAAGTCCTGGGACAGCAGTAGGACTAGGACATGGCATGGCCGACCCCACTCACCAGATGCTCTGCCTCCCTTGGGGACAGTATGGTGACACCTCTGAGATCTGCTGGCTCCTGGCTTTCCATTTCCTGCTCAGAGACTGGGGTGGACCGAGAGTCTCTGTTGTTCAGGATCTCGTTTGTGGCATCGTCCTCAGCCCGAGGCCCTCGTGGGGAACTCCAGCACCAGGAAAAGACCTTGGGGAGGCAAAGAGCAGACTCGGGACTCCACACCCAGGGCTCCCTTCGAGTCCCCCAGGGCACTGCTGCTCCTAACATCCCCACCCCTCCCAGTGGGGTCGCCCCAGGTGGGCAGAGGCTGAGCGCATCCAGCATCTGCTGATGGCACCATGCCCGTGGTGCTGTGCTAAGGCGGGTCACCCCCATTGCCAAGGTGCAGAGCTGTGGGGTGGGGGTGTCACCCAGGCGGCAGGAAGGACAGGGCTACAGCACGGCCTGCAGGGTGCTCTAAGTAGCCATGTGCCCTGCACGGTCAGGCAGAGCCCCCAGGCCACTGCAGAGAGGCAGGACAGCCTTACAGGACAATGAGGATGCCATCACCCAGGGCTCTGTGTGGGCAGGAAGCAATTCCTGAGCACCCAGTACCCCCAGGTCCTGGAGAAACCAACTCACTCTGCCCACGAATTTGGGGTCCTGGTCACAACCTGGAAGAGAAGGGAGTCCCCTTAGCAAGCAGGAAGGATCCCGTGCAACATCCCCCTCCCTGAGGACAGTGCCCGGGCAGGGGTGGGCTGGGGGTTGAAACACTGGACAAGCAGCCTGGGCCTGAGGATAGCGATGGGGCTTTTCCAACTCTGGGGCACCCTCAGGAGGGAGGAGCTGGAGGAAATTGAGAAAATATAAACACATGTAAAATCTGTTTGGTTCTGCTCTGACCAAAGCCATATAAACCCCCTGAGCACTTCTGGCGCTGACCCTGGGCCCCCAGTGGAGGAGACGACTCCCTCTCTGTCCTGCCTGGGCCCTGAAGACGGGGGCGGGGGGAGCTGGCCCGGCCCTCCGGACTTGGGAGGTGAGGGCACTGCCAGCCCCGAGAGAGGGACTGATGAGATCCTGGTCCTGGGGGTGCAGGTGAGGTGGGAGATGGAGCGACCACCACAGGGGTTTGGGAGACAGGGGAGAGGGCGTTGCCGCCTGCGGAGCAGGGTACGGGGAGGGCCAGAGAGTGCCCAGTGGCCCCTCCCTCAGCCAACACCTACCTGAGCAGTTGCGTTTCCAGCAAAGAAGAGTCACCACCACGACCACCAGCAGCAAGACACCCACAACCCCGAATACAATCTGCATCCCGAGGAGCCCACTGCCTGAGGACGGGAGGGGAGAGGTGGAATTCCAGGGCTAGTGGTCGCTGGCTCTCCAGGAGCTGGGGTTTCCCCAGACGCCTCAGTACCTGATCTTTTGTGGACGCACACAAGGTCACTCCAGGGGGTACAAGGCCTGTCCTCGACCATCCCATCAGGGCACCTGGGTACACACAGGGAGGAGAGGTGGGATTCCATGAGGGAAGGCCGGCCAAATGGGACACAAGAGGAGCCACCGCCCCACCCACTTTCCCTGAGCAGGTGACAGAGGAAGGATGGACTCCTCATGTCTCCAGGGGCCCTACTCTCCCTTGCTGACTCTGGGGATGGACCTGAGCATATGAACTTCAGCCACTCAGGCTTCCTGCTCAGTGGTCAGGGCTGTGCCTCCAGGAACCTTCTCTGCTGGGAACACACGGAGCTTCCCTGGGCTGCAGGGGAGGCCCCGAGTTAGCAGGAACCTCGCTCCAGGGGAGGTCAAAAGATCTCGTGGCCACAAGCTGAGACACATCCTCCAGCCAACCCTTGCTACCACTGAGCTCCCGTTCCCACCTGTCTGCCCATCCCTACTTGTCACAAGAACACTGGGGGTCAGATACACTGATAGTGGTCATCATCGCTATCAGCCCCTGAAACCCCAAATAGGGACAGGTAGGTTTTGAGGGACAAGGAGCTGGGGTAAGGACAGCTGTGTCAGCTCAGGTCCTCATGGGAATCTAGCAGGAGCTATACCCGTGGCTTTATTATAACCTCTGTGGCCATGGGCTCTTTTGTCTTCATGGTCCCTGCTCGGATAAAAAAATTATTAAAAATTGCATTTTAGGACTCAAATATGTTTAAGGATAACTATTAATACATCCCAGGGTGGATTCTTTGCAGTTATGATTTCAAAATAAAATATTTCATGGGCCCTAAGAATATCATGGGCCCTAAGTCGTGGCCTCCTGTGCCCAGTGGGACACGTGTTGCGGAGGTGTAGGAAGGGGCTGCTGCAGGGGGCAGGGTGGGGACAGGCAGATGGACCAGGAGGAGTCACCACAGGCTCAGGACACCCCACAGGGTCAGGGATGCCCCGTGGGGGTGGAGGCCCCATGGGGCCCAGGGGAAAGAAGTGGGTGCAAGGAAACTCAGGTCTTTGGGGTTCCCTTGAGCTGCAGGGAGCTCCCTGCCTCTCGTGTCTCACCTAGAACGGCACTTCTGGCAGAACTCAGGGGAATCTTCTACTCGGAACGTGCCTGGTTTGCACTGACACTCTCTGTTTCTGGTCGTGGTGCAGTTACTTCTTGGCTCTTCATCTGGAGACAAAGGAAAAGTCTCCGGGGATGTGTTTCCTGGGCATGCCCCTCAACCCTTCCTCACCACCCCAACCCTTCCCACTCAGCTCAACTCAGGTCATCAAGGAGCTCTGAGGGCCAGTTTCTCCATCAACCCACTCGGGGCACACAGAGGACAGCCACCCTTCAGCCGTCACTAATAGAGTCACACAACAAGGACCAACATTCATTATCTATTACATCAGACTAGGGGAAAAAAACCATTTAGATAACATGGTCAGTAGCAAGGGAGGTGCAGGGGTAGAACAAGTGAGACCCTGGCAGGAGAAGAGCCCTTGGGTGACTTCCCAAAAGCCTGGCCCTGCTGGTGAGGAGGGAGGAGCCTGAGGACGTGAGGCTGAGAGAGGCACCTTCCAGGAGCACAGAGCCGGGGGAGGGCCTGGGCCAGGGCCAGACCCATGTCACAGCTGAAACCCAGCCCCTTCCCTTCGGCCACACCTTCTCCATGCTGCCAGGGTACCCCCATGCCCTTGCAATTGGTTTTTTAAAAGATTTCCCTACCAAGTGGCATGCATTATAAAAACAATTTATGTTTTATTTACTTAATGACTCAAAGATATAATCATGGAATAATAGGGTTTGATGAAGACCATCAAACTGAAGACTGGAACCCAGGTCTCCTGATTCCATCTATGCTACCACTTTATGTCATCACCCTGCATTCCATCTTCAGGCACAGGGTGCACATGTTCTGTACCTGAATTACAAACTGTACAGGGTAAGCAGGAAGAGAGGGCATTCCAATGAGTGGTGTAGTCTACTCCACAGCTGCAGGGGCGGCAATCTCTACTACCTTCTGATCTATGGGTTCCTGGGAGGGGAGAGAAAAAGCTGGTGAATGAATCTTCACAGGATTCTCAGAGACTGGGGACTCTTCTTTCAGTCATCAGTGGAATCCAAACAGGGAAATCCACTGTACCTGGCTCAGTCAGTTCATCAATTCTGCATTCATTACATACCTTAGGCCAGCACTGCTGACAGAAATATAATACAAGCCACACATTAAATTTGAATTCATACTCACCACATTTAAAAAGTGAAAGAGGTGACTTAATTTTAATAATACATGTTTACTTAATATACCCAAAATAATATCACATAGATATATAATCAATGTAAAACATGGAGACATAATATTTTACATTTTTTATAGTATGTTTTCAAAGCATAGTGTGTATTTCTCACTCAAAGCATATCTCAAATGTGAAGTGGCATATTTCAAGCAATCAACAGTCCCATGGGCCTACTGACTACTTCTATTGGACAGCACCACACTAGACCCTGGAAACTCACATAAGAAAGTCCCAATACCTGTCCTCAATGAGCTCCCGGTTAGTGGAAGCTTTAAACAGGCGCGGAAGTAATATGATAATGGGAAAAGCCTTCAAAATTACAGTTCATGTCATCAGCTGTGGAAGGAAAATGTAAGGAAAAATGGATCTACCTCTTGAGAGTCAAAGAATGACCCAAAGAAGTGGAAGCCAAAGCTACCCTGGATGGGAAAGGCATTTTGAGATTGGAAAATGTGAGTCCCCCAACTTTCTTTTTCTTTTACAAGATTGTTTTGGTTGATCTCGGTCCTTTTATTAATAAATTTCCTATGACTTTGAGGATGGGTTCTTCCATTTTTGAAATAACACTGTTGAGATATTGATAAGCATTGCATCTGTATATCACTTTGGTTAATTTGTCATCTTCACACTATTAAGTCTTCAAATCCATAAACACAGGATGTCTTCCTGTTTTTTTAGGTTTATTTTCATTTCTTTCAGCAATGTTTTGTAGTTTTCAGTGTAAAAGTCTTTCAGTAGCAAAGAACAATCCAAAAATGAAATTAAGAAAATAATTTCATTCATAGTGGCTCAAAAAGAATAAAACAGTTAGGAATAAATTTAACAAGGAGGCACAAGACTTTTGAAAAAGACTTGTCTACACATCTAAGAAGCTGAAAGATCTTCAATCAGGCTAAATTCAAAGAGAACCAGAGCAAGACACATTATAGTCAAATGGATAAAAGCCAAACACAAACAGAAAATCTTGAAAGCAGCAAGTACTCAGTATGTACTAGGGAACCTCAACTGATTTCTCATCAGAAACTATACTGGCCCTGACACAGTGAATGATGTATTTAAAGTGTTGAAAAAAAATCCTTCAACCAATAATTCTATATCCAGCAAAACTATCCTTCAAGAATGAAGGAGAAATTAAGACATTCCCTGATAAACAAAAACTAATGGAGTACATTACTAGTAGACTTGCCCTGTGAAATGTTAAAGGGAGTCCTTCAGGCTAAAATGAAATGACATTATACAGTAGCTCAAAGCCATATGAAGAAATAAAGAACACTGGAAAAGGTAACTACATAGGTAAATATAAATGCCAGTATGCCATAATCTACTTGGGTTGCTATAAAAAAATAACCACAGGCTGAGTGGCTCCAACAATAGACATTTATTTCTCACAGTTCTGCAGGCAGCCACTATCTTGCTGTGTGTTCACATGAACTTTTCCTTTTGCACACGCAGAAAGAGAAAGAGAGAAAGAGAGAGAGAAAGAGACCATGCACACAAGTTGTCTGGTATCTCTTCTTAAAAAGGCACAAATACGCCGGGCGCGGTGGCTCATGCCTGTAATCCTAGCACTCTGGGAGGCCGAGGCGGGCGGATCATTCTGAGCTCAGGAGTTCAAGACCAGCCTGAGCAAGAGCGAGACCCCGTCTCTACCAAAAAATGGAAAGAAATTAATTGGACAGCTAAAAATATATGTAGA